AATGACATTTACACTGAATGTCATTTGGCGTAAATGCCATTTTAGCTGCCGTCTGACAGGGGTATAAGTGAAGAATAGGTAAGCCAATTTTATTTTCTCTCTATGTCACATATTTTTCAGTCGTAGTAAAGGTCAGATAATACCAGAACTATTTTTTGATGATTTAAAGCAAAAAGGCTTAGTGATAATTTTTTCTGCAAACAAAAGCAGCTTTTTCTTCTTTTTTTTTTTTTTTGACTTCGAAGGTGTCATGTATTCATACTCTCAATTCATGACTGCACCACCTTCGAGCACCCTTGTAGTAAATCCCAGCGTGATAATTTAAGAAACCGATTTATGCGGTCGGATTGAACTGCGTTCGGTTGATTTCTCCCACGCTGTTTATCAAAATCTGTTGACAAGCTTCCTGGAACGACTAGCGCCTTTTCGTGGCGAGTGCGATCGGTGGCGCTCGCTACACTATCAAACTCCATATCAGCCTAACGCCCCTCGATGTGTCTGCGTTCGGGGACTTGATATCAGCCCTCTCAATGGATAGAAGCTGCTGAATCGGTGGAACGTTGGATGCAGATTATCTCCAGTGGAAAGAAATTCTATCGGTGTTTTTATACATGAAGTTTGCGCGAAAGTCGGCACGAAAAAGAGCGTCATTCGAACATGGCCCTTATTTGTTGCCCATGGAGGCATTGACGGCGGTGGCACTAGGAACGCTATCCGCCTCTATATATCTGCTCTATATAAGCGCTCTATATATCCGCCCAAAGCCCCTAGATGTGTTTGCTTTTGTCTTTCTATCCACCCGCGCTTTCTCGCATGCAGGCAACAGGGAGCAGACAATTTCAAACGCCCATACTTAAAAAAAAAAAAGCCGAGATAAGGGAAAGGAAGGGGAAAATACAACGAAAATTTGATTTGAGACTTCGTTGTGTTTGTCCCTTTCTTTCCTTTGTCTCATTTTTTTATGTATGAACGTTTATTAGCTATAGCTTGCACCAGAGCCCTTACTTCGAACACCGCTCTTTCTTCGATTTTGTCTAGTGATAGATCTAAGAACGTTGGTAATATGGGACAATGCCGGGCAGTATATATAGTTGCCGACAAGTTAGAAAAAGTTTGATGGTATGAGATGAATACTGGTTAACCCATAGAGTTATTATAATGTACGCTAGAGGTTCAACTGGCGCTAGTGTCTATGCAACTTCCGTGACGCAAATTGAAGCAGACAGCAACCAGTCTACTTTTGCGGTGCTCCTGTGCATTCCTATGGGAAAACGCGCGTGCATTTTTCCTCTTCGCCAGAAAATAACACGGAACACTTTGGTTATTTGGGTCGTACCGAATAGTATGTACCTTGATTAACACTGTGAAAGTGTAATTACTTTAGTTAGCGCATTTTTCTTCATCAGTGAACGATGTTTAACTTCGCTACATTTCAGTCGCAAACGTGTGTTCCGCAGCAGGTGTGTAAAAACAAGCGACGATTCAAAGCAAAATTACAAGCGAAACGACTATAGAGTGGGTTCAAAGCTCGCCAGCATTCCGGTGACGATTGTATATCGATAATATGCCAGTCCTGTCACTATATGAAAATGATCCCGTCGTGCATGAGCGGATAAAACCTTCAAAACGTAGATAATAAAGTCCGTGGGCTATGAAAGGTCTCTCTTCGTATTGTTTTCTCTGCCGGGCAGCTTTTATCGCGCACTTGTTCTCAAAGATATCGAGCGCGCGGGTGGTATTTTGAACGTAGAACCAGCAGCTTCGCTCAGGGCAGAAAGAATAAAGCGGTACTTACTTATTTAAAATCGGAATAGATTACGTGGCCTTCAATTTATTTTGATCGTACATGCACTGCGAGTTACTGATCCAGTGTTACTGCGTAGTTCTTGCCGCCGCTCTTCATTTTTCAGATGTCCTCCGTTCGTTTGGCATGTATATCCCCCATGCTGGAAATCGCCGACGCCGCGTTCGCGCTAACAGTGTCCGACAGTGCACATAAATACACGTACGAAGCCGTTTTAGCACCGTTTTTAATGCGATGAATTCGAAAGAAAAACGCCGTAATTGACCAATTCTTTCGTCGGCCTGACTGAGAAATGTTCCAAACTACCTAGTACGTACGAATTATTTGGCATATTTGCTCTTATGATCGAGCGCAGGGAGAAAATGCACTCACTTTTTCCCATAGAAATGCATTACCGGAAGTCAATTTTCGACTGGTTGCTGTCTGCTTCAATTTGCGTCAGCACACTAGCGCCACTTGAACCTCTAGGGTACATTATAATAACTCTATGGGTTAACCTCGCGGCAGGAAACTAAAAAAAATTAAAAAGCATGCTCAATATGGCGTGATTTTTTAGAGTGACTGCTCGGCTTGCAAGATTATACAACAGGTGACGACATCCCAATAAAGAGAACAAAAAAATGTGAATGTTTTATCTTTTTTTTGCATCACCTTCATTTTGCTGCTTTCTCAAAAGCTTCTTTTTTTTTTTTTTTAATTCAGAGATAATAAATAGCATCCCGAAAGGAGAAAAACCTGGATATTCCAAAACTTTGTTTAGTTTTGGGTAAATAAAAAAAAAAATCGCCGGAGCCTTTAAAGGGATGCTGAACCAAACAGTTCAGTGTCTATAATAAGTGGCGCACTATCTTTCCGTGAGTTATGAGCCGCCGGTGTGCGCGAGCACACGCAACGAACTTGACGTCATCATATCTCTTTTCGAACTTATTAAGCGTGAATGGGGGATATGATGACGTCAGTTTCGTTGCTTGTGCTCGCGCACACCGGCGGCTCCTGACTCACGGAAGGATAGTGCGCCACTTATTATAGACACTGAAATGTTTGGTTCAGCATCCCTTTAAAGACTATTAAGCTGGGGTCACACTGCTTATACATCATGTAAGAGACAGTCAGCATACAGATTCGAACGCGAGTTACCGGGAGATCCGTGCTTCGAATGCCGCGCGGCAGTGCGTCCAAGGAGGAAACTTAGCACGCGGCATTCGAACCACAGATATTGCGTGAATCGTGTTTGCAGACTGTCTCTCAAAGCGATAGCTTTAAGGAGCTCACGTCGCAGAAAAGGCGGCGTCGGCGGGACCGGAAAATCCAAGCCTGGTCGATAGGGTTCTGACGTCAGAGCGACATGACCTCGCGCGGGAATTTCAAACACCACACAACGATCACGTGAAACGCGACGTCACGCGTGGAATGAAAGTGATTAAAACATGACATGTAATGCGAATTGGAGGTTGCCGGATGTGTCAAATGGTTTCAAATTAATAAAGTAATTCATCAGCCTTAAAGAAAAAAAATGTGACGAATTTTAGGCGGAGGCGGGATTTAAACCCACGACCCTTCGGATGCGATGCCAGACGCGCCACTGACTAAGCCACGCAGACTGTTTTCTTTTCTTTTTTTTTTAATTACCGGTCAGGACATTTACAAAAAGAAGAGGTTACACTGTTAAATTCACTTCGCAGAGATCAGCAATGCGCGGTCGTAAAATTCAAACTCCTTTCAAGTTCTCAAGCACGTCGTGAATGGACACCCAATCAGGTGCGCATTCTAAAGTGGCGTGTACAGATTTTAGACTGCGGAGAGGTTCTACACGAAGCGATCCTAGCGGCGTAGTGACATGCAAAACATCTTGAGAACCCCTTGGCCGCAGTTTCGGTTTGGATTTGCCAAACGTCACTTCACGATATCCCGTCACAACCAGTGCGTGCATTTTCGTACGTATGACTTTCCCTAAATCGATATAGCACACTTTAGGTGTTGCCTTTACAACTACGTATAAAATGCTGAAGCACCGTTTTTTTTTTTTATTTATTAACTTTTTTTTTAGGGGGAAAGGGTGACGTACCAGGGTGCTCATGTAAAGAGGACTACGAGACGAAGGCCCATGCCAAGAAGAAATATACATGGGCCGGTTAACCTGTTCCAGCTCCTCAAGAGACTTCCTAAATTATCCGCGAGCCGGGCGCGGGGGGTCATGTTTTCGACTCCGGAGGAGTAGCCTGAAAGGTGTAAGGAGCGGCAGGCCTCACTAATGTACCTCGCTAAGTCCAGGCAGGTCCTTACGGCGACTGGAGGTCTGTGTCTCAACAGGGGGTTCTCGCGGGGATGCACGGGTGCAATGGCTTGGAGCGCCGACCCTACTTTTATGTAGTGCTGAGGTGCACTACTTTGTCAACGGGGCGATTGAAATCGAAACCACGCCACTCCTCTTCCCAGTTAAAAAGATCCCATAACGCAACGCTCGCAGTGTTGCATACAGGAATTTTCGAAAGTTGTCAACTCGTTGTGAGAAGCTCGCTAGAGGCGCTTCTCTTTTTCTCACTCTGATTAGTGCACGTGCTACCCACGCGGTTATGTTTTAATTTTTCGTAATGAATAGAAGCTTGGAATTTCACGTGCTTGCTCCAGCAGAGACACTTGAAGCATAGCCTCCTCTATACTCACAAAGCCTGGCATTTCGACGACGGAGCAATAGTGTGTCCTGTTGCAGATTTAAAGCGCGAGCAACTGGTAGCACAGACTATCAAAGAGCCCTTTCTTGGGGAACCTGAACGTCAGCGCACAGCTTTTGGACAGCGGCAAGTACCTGGAACACACTTTTTGGCTCGGGAGAAGTGTGTTTCGGGGTCTCGCCGCAGTGGGACGCCAGCCACGTGGCTCTCCTCTCATCCGTTGTCTGGCGCTGCACCTTTTCCATTTCGGCGGCCGCTTCTCGTGGTGATCCGCCAGGCTTTGTCAGTATATAGGACGCTATGCTTGAAGCATCCTCACTCTGGGTTATGAAAAAAATTCCATCAGGTGACGATACCCATCCTCCTCGCGGCGAATTTTGTCCTTATGTGTGCAGCGAATACGGTGTCTTTTGAACGATCCTTGAGTTGTGTGCTGTGGCTTCAGCGGTGTCTCCGTGGCTTAAGTTTTTTTACGACGAAACCAAGAGCACTTCGCAGAGTGGCCTTTAAGAAAAAGTTCTCACCTGTACCCTGACTTCGGGCAGGTTGACCTTCATGGCCAGTTCCTCTCTGCTGTACACGTCCGGGTAGTGAGACTTCTCGAAGGCCCGCTCCAGCTCGTGCAGCTGGAACGTGGTGAAAGTAGTCCGGTTTCGCCGATGCTTCTTCTTCGAACTGCTGGACGAGTTGGCGGAGGGCGTCTGGCCGCACTCTGACGTCACGGGTGCCGCCGCTTCCGGTCCCGGGCTGCCTCGACTTCCGGTTCCGGGAGACAGCTCCGGCCCGCTGGAGAGCTCGAAGCCAGCTGCGAGGTGGAGCAGAAAGGTCACGTGGTTTCGATCACGCGACAGCCGTAATCCGAAACTAGCGATTTACAAGTAAGTCAGCTATCAAACGGCATTTGTATTGTTAAATGTTGATAAGGCGTGAATGCGCACATGCCAACCATAGGAGGCGTTGCCATTAAATAAGAAAAGCGGGGCACAGATGCGGAGTTTATGATTACAATCTTACAACTAAATTCTTATCGTCTTTAGCATTTTCTTTCCCCGTGTCTATATAACTTTGCATGCAATTTTATTATCGTTAAGAACAGTGCTGCATGTCATCATATGGCAGCCTATCCACCAGCGCCACCATTTTACCTTCCTTAGTTCTTGTCTTGCCATTTTCATACTCGTTGACGTTGTAATTTTTTTTCCTAGTCATCTTTTTTTTTTCAATTTGCACTGGAAAATGTGTGAACATGTGACGACCTTTCTCAGCAAGTCAGATTCCACCGCGAGTCGTTCCACAAAGTCCGTGGAGATGTGTTTCCGGAAGTCTTTCGTCTTCTGACTGAAGAAATCGTTGCGAACATAAGCAAATATTGTCCGCAACGAATCAGCATTCGGATGATGGTAGACACAAATCATGTTGATGAAGAGACCTTACCACAAACTACCCACGAAAAATTGAACATTCGCAAAGAGTGCGCCACCCTGGTGACCAAAAGCCCCATTTAGGAGCAGAAAAACGCCCAGAATGACATTTCCACCGACTTTCAGGAACGGATCCAAGCGTCACCTGACTCGCTGAGAAAGATCGGAATAAGTGAGGAGACGTGGACTAATACATCATGAAAACGAGAAAACAATCGACGCACTGGAAAACTTCCACGTTACCAGGTATGAAAATGGCAAGGCAAGAACTGCAAACGAAGGGAAGAAGAAAATAACGGCGGCTCCGAATGCACTGACGCGCGATCACCTAAAGCCATTCCCAGCAAAAAAAAGAAAAGTGCATTAAATGATGTATAGATGGGTAAATAGGATATGTCGAAGGAGAATAACAATTGGGTTTTAAAATATGAATTCTATATTCTATATTTTATAATATGTTTATTGACAATATTTTATTGTCGGGTGCAACTGTGGACAGCTTACTCGTTTGACGGTGTTCAAACAAATCATATTGGATCTGCACATTCTCTATACTCAGCGCAGGCAAATTTTGACCATATGTTGCTCACTGCTGGTATTCTAGATTGATTGATTTTGTCTCTCCTTCTTTTATTAGAGTATCCAGACAAGCAGACGCGCGGTTGTCCCCAAATTAGCCAATTTGTCGCATTCGTCGTCGTTCCACGAGCGCCTCTCAAAACTCACAATGAATAACCGTTTCCGATGTTTAAAGGCCTACAAAAACTCTAAATCCACAGCAACAACTCGAAAAAAAGGAAGGAAGAGGGGGGGGGGGGGGGGGTAAAAATCTCCCTACCCTAAAGAGGGGACCAACCTCCCCACTTACCTTTCATGGGGGTTCCCCCCTCCGTGTCATTGTAGTCCGCTAATCTTTTTTCACGAGCGTTATCCGAGAGTAGCTCATTGTTAAACAGTATACCAGTATACCGGCTCCAGCATGGGACAAGTATACTACAAGCGCGGGGCATAAAAACACTGTATTACTGGGCTTAGTAAAAGAGCAGGAGGTAGCGCGAGAGGGTCGCCGAGCAACACAAACGCCACTTTAGGGCTTTGTTCGGCCGCCAGGGCGCGCGACAAGCCGGAGCCAGACGAAACCCGGGAACCTACGGAGAAACTTTAGTGGGCCAACCCGACCGTAAATTATGCAGACAAAAAGAAAAAGAAAAAAAAAAAAAAGATATGACCTGTTTGCGTTCGAGGTATGAGTATAAGTCGTTTACACAGCGGGTAATTCAGAATTTGTCATGCTTGAAACTGTCGAGTGCATGGCGCTATTCGTCTTTTGAAACTGTCATTTGTGGCTACTTAGTGGCGTGCTCTCAGCAATGAAAAGTGCGTGGAACGCCCTTGAGGATAGAAGTTCATCGAACCGGCAGAACCCAGGTTAAAGCGTAAATTCCCCCCAAAATATGCATATTCACCAGAAATAAGTAAAATGAGAAATAAAAATGGCAGTATATGCCTTGATCAAGATCTGCCTGGTTCTGAAGCATAGTAATTTTAATAAATTCTAGTAGTATTGATACACTCGTAGCGATTTCTTTTTATATTACTAGAATTGTTTTTGTTAAGATAAGTAGTGAAACAGTGTGCTATATATAAATTATATTTTATGTGTGTATTCGGTGACGAGACACTTAAATGTGGGCCCCTCTTTTCTGCATCCCTCCTCTCCAACAAGGTAGCCCGGATTTACGATTAATTACGGTGCATACTAAGAAGTGTGCACCGTACTTAGAGACAACTTTTGGAAACAATCATCACCCAAGAGCCTCCTGGTATTCCTTCGGCCTTGACCTTTAATTCAAACATTGTTTGCACAAAGGCAATTTTCATTGCACACACCTCGCCGAAGTTTCTAGCCTACGACACTGACACTCCACCAGACCAGGGCTAAGCGACACACACTTGTTCACTGTGCCTCCAACCGAAACCAATTTTCTCCACCGAAAGCGGCGCCATCTGCAAACATTCACACGAATCAAGCCGCGCGCACCGCCGATATACCGATCACAGCACCCTCCCAGTCCATGGCCCGAGCGAACTCTACCATCACCTTCTGTCACGCTCCAGTCCTGAACCTTGGGTCTATGGGGAGGTTAATTTAGTGCCCATCCCCCCCCCCTCCCCTTTCAATCCCTAAAGGGGCTATTTAGCACAAAAGGGGGTTAGGGAGGGGGGAGGAACGCGCAAGAAAGGGGACCGCGAAATTAGCGGTGGTAAAAGCGAGGGCTCCCCTTTTGTGCTGGTGTGAACGCAGACGACAAAGCGCGTTTAGCAGACGACAGCAGACACCCCGTCGCCGCCGGTCGTCTGCGAAACATCGTCTGCTTCACAGAGCTCCCCGGTAACAGACGAGGGAGACGTACGAATAAGAATGAGCCTAAAATAAATAAAAGAGAGTGTAAAACGCCGAGTCGGGGGGCGGACAAACGCTTCTACAAACATTTGTGCAGCACGGATTCCCTTTTTCGCTTCTCTCTTTTTGCTTCTTTTTAGTTCCAAACGCCGCCGCCATCCTCCTTCTTTTGAGCCGCGCTCACAACAACATCTAGAGATACGGAAAATAAGATGGCGGTGGGGCTTGCGAAGATGGCGGCGAGCGGTGGAGCGTTTTTGTCAAAGCCAAAAGCGGCGCCAGGTCTAGGTGCGCGCTATTGGCTGGCATCTCCCATCGCTTCTTCGCCGCACTTTTTTTTTTCTGTCGCTGACAAAAAAGTAAAGTAATAATATTGACAGGGCAAGGAGGAGGCTGAAGCGGCGACGTCGACACGCGAGCGTTCAGAGTCTCCCTCTGCGGGGACCCGTGTACCGCTTTGTGCTCCGTTGAATGCTCGCACAAAGAGGTTGTTTTTAAGGGTAGCCATTTGAAGTAGCTAAGCCTTTGAGAGGACTCGTCGCGGAAGAAATAGCCGGGTAAGAGGGCGCGGGCGTTCGTCGTCTGCTAATCTGAAAGTAAGCAGACGGAACTCAAAGAGCAGACGACGCGGCGCCGGAAGTTGTGCCGTCTGCAAGAACCGGGGATTCTGCTCGATGGACGGCGTCTGCTTCTTAGCTTTCGCTGTGCTTCTGGTTGGTTGGTCTCTCGGCATTGTGCACGAGGGCAGCAGTAAGAAGTTTAGGTTCCTCCAAGGAACAAAAGGCCAGTTTCAAGACTGTAGGGTTTTGCCAAATTACGAGCGAACTGACTTGTCGAAGTTATGTTAGTTACTTTGCTAGTATGGGCTTGTGCTATAGGTTTGTGCGTTGCCTGTGACAGGTGGAGAAAATCTATATCTGTTTTCACAACTTGAATGAGGGTGGCTAAAAAAACTGAAAGGTAAATATTAGGCTATCATTGTTAAAGATCGCGGACCCGTCTAAATTTTGGGACCTTGACAAAAAATATTTCGAATCAATAGTTCTCGAGGTTGTTAAGGCTTGTCTAATTTTGAGGTTTTAAGGCATTCCAATGTCTTTGAATTGTTAATTTATTAATTTAACAAATTGTAAAGTTTTCATATATGACTAGACTATAAGATTTAAGGTGTTAAAAGGTCTTGAAAGCGGCCATTGTTTATTGAAAGCTGTTCGATACTCATAACGTTCTCGTGGGATGCGAGGAGAGTTCTTAATTTTTTACCCTTTGCCGCAGATTCATAAGTTGCCTCAGTGTCTCTTCGCACGACACAAAGTGCGAAGTACTTACCAACCACCCTCCCCTCTGTCCCCAACCTTTGCCATAAAAACCTGCTCGGGGCATAGTAACCTTTAGCGTGTTATGTACGCTATTTTTTCTTCTTCTATGTACTATGGTCGTGCTGTATATGGAATAATATCGCACCACAAAATATCCTGCTGTATAGACAGGCGGCATAGCCGTAAATATTGTGCGTGTTTGTGTATGTTTATACAGCCTGAACTTCTTCTACCTCGACGGGCGACTTGTCTCTCAGCTGTAGATGAGAAATTTGCCAGTGCATAGCCTGGGGTCTTGAACGTGCATCACACAGTAGTGATACACGACCGCACGCCGTAACGATTCTCACGGCCGTGATGATGGATTGACGAGACGTGAAAGTGTGCTGCATTTAACTTGGCAATTGACACCA